CTTTCTGGACGCCTTGAATACATTTTCGTATTTGCGGAGTAATTTTGATTGCCTTCTGAACAGCAGCACTATTTTCCAACCATTGGTGACCGCAAAACTTTAACGGGAATATGGTAGATCCAGAATACATCGTGATAAACGGCTCGTCTTGCTGGTACATCTTTGAAGATATTGTAGATACCACTCAAATATTTGACAACATCCCAACTGATACTGCGAACACTATCCTTGAATGCATTATGCAAAATATACAGCCCACAGCGTCCTAGATCTATCAGCTTCTCGCCATATTTTTGTACCTCTAGCTTCAATTCACATTGGGCCTATTCATGGACACTTGCAGCAACTTGTTCGAAGAGATACCGGTAAGGGCGTCCATAAACGCAGCGAGTAGATCTGATGCCCGGGATTTTCCCAAAAACTTTGTCGTCATGCACTGATAAAATTTCAAAGATTTTTTTTATGTGTCCCACACATGATTTTTTGCAATGTGATCAACATATTTTTTTCCCTGACCTACACTAACATTCCCTGACATTCCCTGACTTTCCAGATCATAAATAGAATTCCCTGACATTCCCTGACTTTCCAGGTTTTTCCAGGTAGTCGACACCCTGAACTAGTTTTCAATCCGACAAGTAAGCTTACTGAGATCGGGCTCTTTCGCTGCCGCTGCCGTCCCGCTTCCGCTGTCATTGCGCTTGGGCCTTAATTGTTTGTGATTGTGGAAAGAGAGATCAATTCGAGCCACGGTGGAGTAAGCGTGTGTTTTTGTTTGTTCGGAGACGATTTTCCCGAGATTTGAGTCCTCATTTCGGGAAGATTTCCCAATCGCGTCGCGAATGCAAGTACGATTTTTTTTAGTCCACCGGGAGTGGAAGCCGGCCCCGTGGCTGCGAAAATTAGTGTTGTGAGTGCAACACGAACGGGTGTCGGATCGCCATTGTGGGAAGCAGGAGCTGTTCGCTTCTCTGGCTAATCACCAAGGATCCGGCCAATATCCGCCGTCTTGACTGCGGTGGCTCTGCCAATAGAGCCAGTCTCGCCACCGCAGTTAATCGTCAAGCAGGACGAAGCAGGCAGTACTACAGGTGAGTTTGCATGGGCAGAAACACCGCGGTGTCTGCTGGGGTTGCCTACAGCGATTAGGCAATCTGGAGATTTGTCACCAACGTCGCCGGGGTGGTTCCAATAGATGAGCCCCGCTCATCCCCCCGCTAATTGTCAGGGACAGCTGCTAAGCAGCCGACGAACGAGACCGCTCAGCACAGGCCGTGCTTTGTAGCAGCAGAACCGCCAACATACCGGCGTCGAAGGGACCCACCGAACAGCAGCAGCAATAGCGAGGATGAGAAGATAAGTAGCTAATAGACGTCTAATATAGCATTTTCTTTTTGTTGTTTTGTTTCACCAAAATCCGAACGACTTTGGGGGAAGTACCCTTGCTCGAGGCCGCTGGGGTAAAACTGGGCCAGCTATAGGCTGGCAGGTAAGCTGCAACTTAATACTCTAAAACCGATAAATTCGATGTCCGTTACAACTTTAGAAGATCTTGCGGAAGAGCTCCTCACCATGTTCCGGTAACTGTTGAAAAATTGATTTCCGCTTCAGATACTGAATGTGGAATCTCCAGGAGCGTTTGGAATCGAGCCACACCCCAAGATATTTGAAGGACATAGAATGATGATCGGTTTACCCAAAAGTTAAAGCTTCGGTTGTGCTGGGCAATGCTTCCTAGAAAAAACGGCCAACTCAGTTTTCTCCGACCTCGATTATTTTGCATTTTTTTTCCAAAATTTTCAAGGGACATTGGCCTCAATCAACTTCTAGTGCAGGATATTTTGCAGGCTTTAAAAAATTTAGATGCCTCAAAAGGTCCTGGACCTGACGGAATTCCTCCAGTATTTATTAAATGTCTAGCAATGGAACTCACTACTCCATTGTTCTGGATTTTTAATATGTCCCTGGAATCTGGAACCTTCCCTTGGAAAAGCTCATTCCTAGTACCTATCTTTAAATCTGGCAGAAAATCCGACGTAATTATCGTGGTATAGCCATTATTTCTTGCATTCCTAAACTTTTCGAGGCAATTGTCAACGAAAAATTATTTCTCCAAATCAAAAATAGAATTACTGACATGCAACACGGCTTTTTCAAGGGTCGCTCGACCTCGATAAATTTACTTGAATTTATAGACTATTCATTGAATGCAATGGATAATGGAAACCACGTAGAAGCTCTATATACAGACTTTTGCAAGGCATTTGACCGCATACTCGAGCAAAGTACAGCATCAAAATAACAGGAAATTGAAATCAAGTTTTGATATCAACATCAAACTGAAATCATAATTTGATTTCAGTTTACGCAATTGACAAATTTGATACCTAATTTTGTTTTCATTTTGCTGTACATTTGCTCTTCAGAAATATGTTGCTGCGGGTTTGTTTTCATTGCCTTAGCATAACATCAAATTGAATACTTGTTTTGCTATCAACAGGAAAAATGGATATCAAATTAAGTTTTTAGTTTGCTCTCACTGATAGCAGAAATAGTTTTCAATGTGATGTGTCACAGGAATATTTGTTTGCACTCAATTGTGATATTTAAACCGTTAAAACGACCAAAACGACAGCAACCTGAGTAATCATTATCAGCTAAATCACAACATCAAATTTAGATTTAAATTTGATCTCAGACTTTGCTCGGGTAGACATACCAATGCTACTTTTTAAATTGCAAAAAACTGGAATTGAGTCAGGGCTCCTAAAATGGCTTGAATCATAATGAACTAACCGCCAACAAATAATTAAATTCAACGGAAAGAAATCGAGTCCAATTCAAGTCACTTCAGGCGTCCCCCAAGGCTCTCATTTGGGACCTCTTCTTTTTATTCTATACGTAAACGACATTTCTTTTATTCTCAAAAAACTTAAATTGCTTATTTATGCCGACGACATGAAACTCTTTTTGGAAATAAGAAATGAAGAAGACATCAATATATTCCGGAATGAAATACACATATTCTACATATGGTGCAAAAAAAGTCTACTAGAATTGAATGTAAAAAAATGTAACTTAATATCATTTAGCAGGAAAAGAACAACTTCAAATTTTTCAATTGCACTAGGAAATCAAAATGTAGAAAAATGTGAAAGAGTTAGGGATTTAGGAATTATCTTAGACTCTAAACTAATTTTCATAGACCATCACAACACAATTATTCACAGAGCAAATAACATGCTTGGCTTTATCAAGCGCTTTTGCTATAACTTTCAGGACCCATACACAATTAAAACACTATATATTGCCTATGTGAGGTCAATAATGGAATATTGCAGCATTGTATGGTCTCCTTTTTCAAACACGCACGAAGAAAGATTAGAATCCGTACAAAAACAAATTCTATTATAAGCTCTTCGTAAATTATGTTGGACATCATTTCCTCTTCCATCATATGAAGCACGCTGCATGCTTATAAACATACACACATTAAAAGAGCGTCGTGAATATGCAATGGTTTCATTTGTAAACGATATCGTTTCGCAGCGCATTGACTCCACAGAACTTTTATCAAAATTAAATTTCCATGCGCCGATAAAGGAGCCTCGATCACCCCCCACTGGAGTTAGTAAAATTTTACTGGGTTTTTGAATTGCGGATCGCCCAGTTCCTATTTATATAAACCAAGACTCCAATAATGTCTGTAGTATCGAAATATGTCCAAACAGATTCAAAGTGTCACTGTGGATTGTACCCGGCCTATTGCTACGTATACAAGATGTTATAGATTACAATATACGATACAATTGTTTGCATTTACCGAACTGTCCGTAAAGTCAATCTGTCAAAAATAACTGTTCATTCAGTAATTGGTTCGAGTTGCGTATACTGGAAAACCCAGTAGTTTCTTTTTGTTTATTTTGCTGCAATTTAACTGAAAAGACAGTTATTTAGTTCATTATTATACCGTGTTACCCAGTTATATTAAAAGTAGTGAATTTGCAGTCATAAAAGCATGGTGCAATTCACCGTTTATAATATGCCAATTAATATGACGACTTAATCCCTTGACGTACCCCGGAATAGCGCGTCGACAGTGAAAGCAAACAATGCAAACATCCATTTTGTTAATCAAAATTTGTTGGAGATCAAGGAACTGCAAAAAGAGTAAATAATAATTGTTGGTACTAACGAAATAGTACTTCAATTTCGCTGTCGAGCTTTCTCAGTTCCGTCATGATATAATTCAAATTTTAACAAAACCGCGCGATTAAACACTTGCTCCCGGATTTTACTGAAGCTAAAATGGCGGCGGGAATAAAATTGACAGGTTAGATTTTTACAATTCGTGGTTGGTAAAACAAGGTGGCTATTTTGCTGACCAGTCGGTAAAAAAAATAAAGACTACTTTGGGTACAGTAATTATTTTTGCTGACTTTTCGTGAAATCACGAAAATTTGGAAATTAACGACTTTCTCAGTAAATAAATATTCTGTGTTCAGTATTTTGCATCAAACAATACCGAAGTTCAGTTTGTGTTTTGCAGAACGTCGGTTATTCACCTGATTTAAACTGAATGTTCAGTAAATCTTTCGTTTTACCGTGTAAGCCCAGTACAAAAAAAAACCGAACAACTAAATGCTGGATTAGTATGTAAGGATCGCTGCTAGGCAGCCAATAGAAAAGGAGAGGAGACGCTCGGCGCAGACCGTGTCTAGAACCGACGTTAACCGGAACGAAAAGCAACCGCCGCCGCCATCGTCGAAGGGCTCCACCGAGTGTCAGCGAGAATCAGCGAGGAGAAAGAGAAGGTCAGATTAGTTAATAGACGTCTAAAATTTCATCTTTCTTTCTCTTTTGCTATCATTTCACCCATATCCGAAGACTTTGGGGGAAGTACTCTGCTCGTAACCGCCCCGCCGGGGTAAATCGGGCCAGCTATAGACTGGCAGGTATGCCGCAACTTACAGCTTAATATGCTCTGCACTTAAAGTTTCATACTCTATTTACTATTTGCCTTTATATAGATTTTTTGAATACATGAATGTAAAGGTTTAAACGTGATCAGATCATTCATTTGTTTTCAACTTACATGTGGCAACATAATCATCATCCAAATCTTGCTCGATGGTTGCTATTGGTACCTTAACAATTGCCGGTATTTCATTGAATCCTGAAATAGATCTTAGTGATGATTGTGCGAGATCCGTGCCTTTAATGCTCATAAAATCGTTCTCGTTGTGATAATCTGCAAACATATACGTTTATAAGTTTTAGTGTAAGGTCTATGTTTTATGAATATTTCTAAAAAATATTAACATACAATATGATGTAGCTCTATGTATTTTCATTATATTACGTATTTTAATGTTCTGATATATTTCATTTCTCCATTACATATGTTTACTATATATATAAATAAATACTGGGTTGGGAGGGAGCATCAGGGTATCATTTGACCTGGAACTGGACGATTGGAGTGGTATGACAACCGGAGTCTAGGAGGGAATAAACACTATCATTTTCTTTATCCTACCGATTCGATTGTGATGGTGTGAATTCTACTCCAACAGTTTCATGGAGATTGACGCGCCCTTCTTAACAAATCATCCTGTAGGAAGCTTAATAAGTATTGCGAATTGCGTTATTCGATTTGTTGGATCGTATCGTTGAAAGGAGATTCTTAAATTCCCGTGGATTTCGCGTAAGTGCCTCTGCTTACGGGTCCACCCCACCGTTTTTGGCCCTTCATACAGCGATATTGTGAATTCAGATCGGTAGCTCAACTTGATCTTGCTATTAAGTGGAGCTGCATACAAGACAAGATCTTCGAAGGGATGGTGGCTACCTTACATACATACATACATACATTTCTAAAAAATACTAACATACATACTCCATAAAAATTCAACTCAGCCGTAAACGTTCAATGTATTTTTATGGTCAATCCGTCAAAAGATGAGTAAGTAACTTTTTGAATGGTATACAAACATTAGAATGAAAAATAAAATCCGAGATACATCATTTTGAAAAATATGTCTACTTAATTTTCAATGTGATGCTTGAAGAGTTAATATATTCAAAGAACGAAATATAACTTTGTTTAATTAAAAAATGTAAGTAAGAAACCCCCTTCTTTGTTAAAATATTCAAAAATTAATATATACCATTATTTTTAAAAATTCTCAAAGAAGGGAATATTTGTATCTTAATTAATGAAATTCGAAGGGATTCAATCATCCGGGTTTGTTCTATTCAGGGTACCGTAGAAGGGGTAACTTTGATAGTGGAATATAATGTTTAAATTTAATCTCTGCACTTTTTAGGAATTGGAAATATTGGTTCCATATTGTAGCTTAGGGTATTGCCCGTGATATTGTATAGAGTTTTAATATAGTATTAAAAAATAGTGCAATAATTTCCATTAAACATATAACTAACGAATTTACTGTAGGATCCAAAAAAATAAATTTGAAAAACATTGATTGCTGCAATAATTATACTTCAAAAAAAAAACCATCAATGTTACCCCGTTTTACGGCAATAGAGTTCAAACGCAATATGCGCGGTAGCGGAAAAACAGCGACAAGTTTGACTCAAGATGTCTATCTGGAGTTGACTACTAGTTTTTTAACGTGCTATTAGGCTATTCCACTTCCGGTGTCTTTGCGATCGTATATTTACGACTTACAATGGTGAAGCGCCAGCCAATAATTACTAAAACAATACAACTATCTCACTATAACAATAGAAAATCTTTGTTAAGAATTTAATGCAGAAATGCCCTTCATTGCATCGAGTACCATTTTTTTCAATATCAACTTGTTGGATAATGAACAGATAGCCTACGTCCCTTTATCATACGGTTCTGAATAGGTTCCAGCCTATTTATCGATTATCTTGATTCGCTGTCTACCGAAATTTGAGCGGTGGATTTGTAATATTGATGCATACAATCCAAATGTCAAACATTAAATTAAAGATTGTACGTATCACTATTCTGAAAATATCGTACTGTTTGCGGTAGAAAGCGAATCAAGTTAATCGATTTTTCGAATTAATTAATGAATCGAGAGTTCTAATATTTTTAGAAAAACTAAAACTGAATAAAATGGTTGCAAAATGATTGAACTAAACGGTTTTCTGTTGGAATGACGATTGGATGAATGACCGAATCATAGTCATAAGTCATTGGATTGATTTATATACTCACCCTGCCCCGTCTTAGTTTAGCAATATTTGTTTAGGCCAAATTTGAAACTCACCAAAAACGTTCTTATCACATTTCGTAATGGTGACTGGATTAGATTTAGACGAGTAACAGATGTCACATACTTCGACAAACACTGAGTTATAAGCGTAGGAACACTTTACACAGGTCCACATTCGTTTAGGTAGCTGCTGAAGTCTGTGTAAAAAGTAGTTTTATGTAGTAATTGATTAACATATATTTGGTTATTTAGTACAATTAATGTTGACTCTACCAAGCTTTAAAAAAATATATATAAGCTGTCATGCAAACATTTAGAAGAAATAAAAAAAGGGAGATATCAGGCATAACATTTGATAACGGCACAAAAGCATTTGTAAACAAACTTTCTAAGGCCCTTTACACGCGAACCAAAGTACGCCCACGCAAACCAACAACATTATCGGATAGGGGCAACTATCGGGGCGTACGTTGGTTCGCGTGTAAAGGGCCTTAGAAAGTTTGTTTACAAATGCTTTTGTGCCGTTATCAAATGTTATGCCTGATATGATTATTTTTTACAAAACCAGGTTCCAGCAAACATGTTGACTGAGTATTGTTTTAGAAGTCTGCCGAAAGCACATTTCTCTTCAATTCAACTTTCAATGTTTTTTTAAGGGAAATAACATCATTTGCAAAACAACCTCAATTAACCGTTTGCACTACAGCGTATATCACTTGATGTCATTCTTGATATCAAATGTCAGGCATATTGTTTTAAGTAAAAATATGACGTTTCGATTCTGATATCAAGGTAGGCTAAATGAAGAGACATAGAGATTGCTGACGTTTATCGTACGCACACTACGTCACGTATACGTATACGCAAAATGTTTTCATCGGGAAAAAAAAACTTCATAGCAGAAAATTTTCCCGATGAAAACAAATCACTGACACAATCATACTTTAGCAATCTCTATACGCCGCGATGTGAACGTTGTGGTAATCAATGTCATTATCCAATTCCATAAAATTTTATCATTCTATGATCCTATTGGTTGTTTCATTTAAAGCAAAATATAAAGTAAAGTATTGACTATTTAGACTGACCTGTGTTCCAATTGGTGAATTTTCACTTAAAATTGACACAATAAATTAAAAAGTTCGAAAATCCCTTTGTTAGATCGATTAACGAGTAGGTGTTTGTCAAAATTGATTCCTTGACTGTCAGAAATTAGTTTGCTAGAATGAGTCTGGTACAACGTTATACCCCGTTCACATTACAGCGTATATCACGTAAGTTACAAAGAAGGAACCTTTGAATATTCATTCATTGTGCGTGAGCGCCTACACACTAAGATTTTGTTTTCGTGTTCGTGTTCAGAACAGCTGAACGTTCGGTAAAACTTCGAACTTTATTTTAAAGGCTATTGAATTTGAAATTATTTCCTTCAACCTTGTTTAAATGATCAAATCTTGTCATTTTAGTGGAGATTTAGTTTCAAAGTAGCTGAAAAGCAATTGAAATTAATTGCACAAATTTTACCGAACAGTTCAGCTCTTCAGATTTCGGTAAAAATTACCGAAATCGGCGATAATTTCTAAGTGTTTAGACTATTTTTAGGCAGGTATGAGCTTTGGCTGATGTTTCTTCAAACATGAGCAGTTCTTCTAAGCCCTAAAATACCATGGAAGAACAGTTTTGGTTTTGTAAAAGAATGACCAAACTGCTGGAAGGAAGAAGGAATACTCAATGAAATTCACAAATGGAACAGCGTCAAGTATATATATATATATATATATATATATATATAAGAACCTTCCACGACCCCAATATATCTATCTTCTATCTATATATAAAAAAATGAATTTCTGTCTGTCTGTCTGTCTGTCTGACCCTTATAGACTCGGAAACTACTGAACCGATTGGCGTGAAAATTTGTATACAGGGGTTTTTGGGGCTGTGGAAGGTTCTTATGATGGTTCGATACCCCTCCCCCTTCTGTAAGGGGGGCTCCCATACAAATGAAACAGAAATTTCTGCATAACTCGAGAACTAATCAAGCAAATGGAACCAAATTAGGCATGTGGGGGCGAGTGTAGGGGTATAAGGAGATAATCATAGGGGGTAGCCCCTTAGATAATAAGGGGGGGGGGGGGCTACGTACAATATCAAGAGCCACATGTGAAAAGGGCATACAAGCTTTTTGTAAACAAACCTTTGTAGGCCCTTTTCTCACCAACCGAGGGTCGCCCACGCAAACCAACAACATCATCGGGAAGAGGAAAGCTTCCCCTACCCGCTAATGTTAATGGTCTGCGTTGGTGTCATATGGGTGGCGAGAAAAGGGCATAAGAAGGTTTGTTTACAAAAAGCTTGTATGCCCTTTTCACATGTTGTTCTTGATATAGCATGCTTTTTTTTAAATCGGCGCATAAACTCAAGCTAATATTGAATCCCGAGCAAGACCAACGATAGGTAGGTAAAAATTCACCGCACGATTCAGTAGAATGCTGTATAATTCGGAACCAAAATTATTTGTGTTAATTAAATTAGGCTGTACTAGGCATATAATAACTATTGTATGAGACTACATTGCAAAACAAATAATAGTACTAAACGAAACAAATGATGCAAATTATCAATAGACCCGTCATATCAAATATTTTATATATCTTTTTCCTAAAAGATTTTTGTTTTCTGAAGCCAAAGGCGTTTGTTCCAGATGATTAAGAAATTTTGTTAATGTTTTCCGTTTCATTAATTCTACACCTACAAATCAGAAAAAGAAATTAAATTTTGGTATGAGACAGGTCTATTTTTAAAGAGATAACGCAGCGAGTCTTACTTTTTCGTTTTCATTTTTTTCTGTATTTCTGCATAAACAGGGATTTCATCGCCCGTTGATGAATTATTGTTTAAGTTATCTGTTTTATGTGACACACTATCTTCCAAATAGTCTTCTGATCCCGTTGAGTCATTGGAAAGTTGTTGTTCAGGCTTTCTACTGCACTCTACGTTTTCATACCATTGATCAAAGTTCATAGAAATGCTAGTATGTTGCCGATTTGCGGGTCTTTGCTGATTATTTTGCTTATTCTGTTTGTTTATCACAGCGTATATTGGTTCTGTGGCATTTTCTGTGTCTTTCTTGCTCTTGGAGACGTTCTCTTTATTCGAGGGAATCATCGTAGTGATCCTATCGTCCAGCAGTAATTCGTTGAATGGTTTCTTAGAATCCGAGGACTCTCGTGTCTGATTTGGAGCTGCTCGGACAATCCAATCCCTAACGGTTACGAATATTCCACAATCGCGATGGTTCTCACCAGTTGCGTTAAGAGCTGTCCCAACACGTATTTTCTTTGATAAAGTTGTAATGGTAAATTGTTGTAGGTTTTTACTTTCGTTTGAGCAACTATTATTTTTATTTGTTTCGCTCTGCTGGGTATCTTCAAAATACCTGGGATGGTTTGATGAAATTTTGGGGCTTACTTTCTGCTTCCACCTGCTGTAGTTTTTTTCAGGAATGATTTTATCACTGGAACTAGACTGTAGTTCCTGATGGTTTGAATTGAACACATCTATTTTTTTGTGCACACAAATGGTATTCTTTAGGTTGAAACGGTTATATAGACACAGTTGACACTTCCTTCTGTCGATAAATTCCATGCTAGGAGCTTTCTTAAGAATTAGGCTTGTATTGCAACTCTCCTTACCCACCGGCGTACAGGACTTTTGATTTGCATTTTGATTCAATTGTTTCTTTGCACTTCCTTTATACACAGGGGCTAAGGTGCTTATTGAATCACAGTTAATGCAATGCCAGGTTATTGAATTGTTCTCATAGTTACAGACGTAGCATTTCCAGATTCTGTACAGGTTTGGTTGAGAGAAACTTCGTCGAATGTTTTTACATTCACTTTGATGAACTACAGGAAATACGTGTTGATCGATTTTCTTCTTATTGAAATTTTTATGAGCAATCGCTAAACTATCTTTAACTTTAAGTATGCCTTCGCGAGAGATCCTGTTGAATGATGCGGAAAAAAGAAGACATATAAGTTGTGGGAGCATTATGAGTCTGGTTTAAAAACTATGGATAAAATGTCGTGCTATTAATGAAATTATAAATATATTTTGACAATTTCTGAGCTGAAAATGGAGGCGGAGCTTTTTTGATGTCCGGAATTAACGCAGCACTGACCACTAATCGGTGAGATCGGCTTATGCATTGCTGGATTTAGCGGCGGTAGTAGAGACTCGAGCGGCGATTTAACACACGCCGACTAGAAGATCCAGCAGTGAAAAGGCCTTTCGTTGAAAAACTTGAGATCGGAGCAGCGCTTGTTCCAACAGGTGGAAGCGTAGAAGAATAATGGACGGCTATCAAGAATGCCTTTATCTAGTCGAGTGAGAGTAACCAGAGTGAGCGGCGCACTCAGTTTAAAAAGTGGATCACGGAAGATACGTGGTGGAAGGTAGAGGAGCCTAGAGAGCCACGATAGAGAGCGCGATAACCAGAGAAGTCAACCGTACTCTGCTTTAGTGAAAGATGTCAAGCGCTCCTGCAGAAGGGGCAAGCGAGTCCGGATAGACTCCCTAAGCTGGAAGAAAGCCGCAATAACTGGCGAAATTCAACTCCCCTACGATATCTCACGAAGTCGTGAGTGGACCAAGGATGAACCCAAGGATGCCAGTGAAAGATACGACTGGACAGTTGCTTACCGATCTCACTGACCAGCTTCAACGTTGGCTTGAGCACTTCGAAGCCATCAACATAATGGCATGATTCGCCAAGTGTGCGGTGCATCACTCGCTCCAACTCTGAGGCTTCATCACTACAGGAGATAGATGCAGCTATTCGAAGCATGAAAACCAACGCATCGCATATCATCAGAGATGCTCAAAGCTGACCTCAGGCAATCCGCACAAATGTTACATAAATTATTCTGTAATATCTGGGACGCCGCGACTTTCCCGGCCGACTTAGTGAAGGTCCCTAAGAAGGGGGACCTGACTGTGTGTGATAATTCGACAGTGAGCATGCATAAGGGCGTAAACGCGATGATCGATTCTCTTCGTCGATTCTCTCTTTTGTTATTAACTCGCTTGGATTAACGTTTCTTGGTGCTTTTGCTGTTGCATTTGATAGCCAATACAACCTGTCACAGCACTACATTGAGCAAATTCAAGAAAATTTCCTTCCAAAGTGTTTTTTATGTTACTTCATACGCGAAGTTAACGATTTTCAGAGTTGGTTGGAAATGCTAACATGAAGCTTTAGTGTGATGATTTATTAGCTAGAGAATGATCTTTAGAAGAATGTAGGTGGATAGTTCCGTTAGAGTACGGCAGTATGAAAATTGAATAGAAGTTGAAAATGAGCGAAGGGCCATTAAAGCGACAGTTTTCAAGATGACGCACATTTTTGCCCAGCCCGTACGATGTACGCGGGGACTTGAAGTATGTCTCCAAGTCCACAGGCAAAAATGTGCGTCCCTCTTGTTGCTCATAAACTGACTGCGGCTGTGGAATAGTTCTAGCGACGTTTTCATCACTACCTAAAGCCCCACGTCGCGAGAGCATTTCCAGTCGATGGTGTGTTATAATGCAGTTCTTCTTTACCCAACTATTGTGTTGCTCCTCTCGTCATGACCAACGTGATCATCTCAGAGAGAAAGCAGTAGGGTGGTTGTTGCGTGCTGTACCATCATCAGCATTGTTGACGGCTACTCCCGCCTTGAGTTGTTACATTCAAAGTGTTTTTTATGTTACTTCATACGCGAAGTTAACGATTTTCAGAGTTGGTTGGAAAAACATTTTTGCCTGTGGACTTGGAGACATACTTCAAGTCCCCGCGTACATCGTACGGGCTAGGCAAAAATGTGCGTCATCTTGAAAACTGTCGCTTTAATGGCCCTTCGCTCATTTTCAACTTCTATTCAATTTTCATACTGCCGTACTCTAACGGAACTATCCACCTACATTCTTCTAAAGATCATTCTCTAGCTAATAAATCATCACACTAAAGCTTCATGTTAGCATTTCCAACCAACTCTCAAGAAAATTGTTTCACTTAGCTGTATCATTGTGGAGAGAAAATCGATGAAGAGAATTGATGAATGCTCACTAGACTGATGCAAAATTTGAAATTTTCGCTCCACAGTGCTCAAACGGTTTCAAATCAGGTTCTGATTAGCCTCCCAAAATTTAAACTCATTTGGTAAGAAACTGACTTGGCACAAACTATTCGAAGTTTATATGGAAATTACTTAGGGAAAACCAAACTTTTTGTTCATTGTCTTGTACCCATTTTTAATAATGCTTTTTCGAAAATTTCTATAATTATTCTTACGGGAAACTTTGTAAGCTACAACTTTGCGCAATATCGTTTTTCAGCCAAATGTCAAATTAAATTGTTATTAATTGTTTAAGAGATTGATAATCTTATGGCATGATGAAGCAGCTGTTCTGTGGGCAACACTGTATTCTGCAATGTGACATAGTAGCCATGATATTTGTGATCTATTCTTCGCACCAGAAACACCAATGTTGCCTGCTGAACAGTTGAATTAGCCTAATTTTCAAAGGATGTGAATCTCACAAGAACGAGGAAGGGATCTAAGGGAGCGGAATCTACGTTAAAAGTAAGGTAAATCACTTCAGGAAAGCTCAGACATTCAATATAATTCAATCTATCAACAGAAAAGTTTGGACTCCCTAAGGAAGGTTTTGAACCACTTCAGAAAAGGTTGGACACCATTTGGAAAATTAAGGCTAAAAAAATTGTCGGTTCACTTCGGAAAACTTTCTACACTTTCACTAAGCAAGATTGTGTCCTTGCCAAATGCCAAAGCAGTTAACAAAAATCTGGAGCTCCCTTTGGAAAATGTCAAACCCGCTCTGACAAGTTTGGTTTCAGTTCGGAAAAAGTTGAATCAATGCAGGAAACGTTGGATTCATGTAGGAAAAGGATTAATCAGCTAATGTTGCCTCACTTCAGAAAAAGCGAAACTAATTATTTAAAACTTGGATTCGGTACATGTTGAACTACTTCAGGAAAGCTTTGACAACTTAAAAAAGGATTGAATAACATAACAGAAAAGTTTAGACTCAGTTTGAAAAATATTGATGACTTATTCGAAAGTTAAAGGTGCCCTCCTCTCGACACATTTCTTCGATGACATTCTCCGTGCTAAGGGCGAGCATATCCTCTCGCACATCATCAAATCTAGGACATTCGAAGACCACGTGCTCTGGTGATTCTTCCACATTCCCACACTCCGGACAGAAGGGTGACGTTGTGTGTCCGAACCGATGTAGGTACTTCCTGAAGCAGCCATGACCAGACAGGAACTGCGTCAAGTGGAAGTTGACTTCTCCATTCTTCCTGTTCACCCAGGTCGAAAGAGTCGGTATTAGCCTGTGTGTCCATCTACCATTCTCTGCTGCATCCCACTCCTGCTGCCACTTAGCCATCGACACCGTTCTCACCATTTTTCGTACTCCTCTGGTTTCTCTCGTCATATAGCACTCGTAGTCCTCCACCAAGGTGATGCCAATTGGGATCATACCGGCGATAACGCATAAAGCATCCATCGAAATGGTTCTGTACGCACTCACGACTCGCATAGCCATGAGCCGGAACGTAATGCTCAATTTCCTTTGGTTCTGCTTCGTTTTCAGCGCTTCAATCCAGGCTGGACCTCCGTACCTTAGTATCGATGAGGACACACTAGCCAGAAGACGCCTCTTGCTGCTGCTTGGACCAGAATTGTTCGGCATGATTTTGGCTATTGCGTTGATGACCTTCGCCGCCTTCTCGCAAGCATATTCGATGTGGCTATTAAAGTTTAGCCGGTCGTCGATCATCACTCCCAGATACTTTAGCATGCGCTTCGAAACAATGGTGTGCTCTCCAACGGTGATTTCTGCCCGCTGAACTGCTTTGCAGTTACTGACCAACATCACTTCTGTTTTGTGGTGGGCTATCTGCAGCTTCGCTCCTTGCATCCAGTTACCAATCGTATCTATTGCCTCGGCCGCCAACATTTCCACTTCTTCCAGCGTCTCACCGGTTACCGTCAAGACGACATCGTCCGCAAAGCCAACGATCTCAACTCCTTTGGGCAGCTTAAGCGTCAGCACGCCATTGTACATTCCGTTCCACAGCATGGGACCTAGAATGGAGCCTTGGGGAACTCCCACCGTGATTCTAAGCGATTTTTGCCCCGTGTCTGTCACGTAGACCAGGACCCGGTTCTGGAAGTAACTACTTAGAATCCTGCAGAGGTAGTCTGGAACCCTCATTCTATGGAGCGCCTTGGCGATGGCCTCCCAGCTGGATTCTTCACATCAATCGTAATCACGGCGCAGTATCGATTTCCTCTCCGCTTCTGTTTGGAAGCTTTCTCGGTTCTGTCAATCACTGTCCGAATTGCATCCACTTGCTTGATCTTTCTTTCCGGAATCCAAACTGTCTCTCCGACAATCCGTGTTCACTCTCCGTACATTTCGTCAGCCTGTTGAGGATGATCCTCTCCAAGAGCTTTCCTACAGTATCGAGCAAGCATATTGGCCTATACGATGCAGGATCCCCGGCGGTTTTCCGGGCTTCGGCAACAGCACAAGCTTTTGTACCTTCCACCTATCAGGGAACTGACCCTCGTCCAGACATTTCTGCAGCACCATCCTGAACATGTCCGGGAACGTCTGGATCACCTCCTTCAACGCCACGTTGGGAATTCCATCCGGGCCGGGAGCTTTATTCGCTTTCAACCCTTTCGCTGCTGCTATGAGTTCCGCGTTGGAGACTTGTTCAACGTTGTCTTCATCTACCGCGCCATATGGTGTAGGTGGCCAGTTCGTTGGGTCATGCTGTGGGAAAAGTCCCTCCACGATGACTTTCAGCTTGTTGGGACACATTTCAACCGGCATCGTTGGACCTCTGATCTTCGCCATCGCGACTCGGTATGCGTTGCCCCAGGGGTTGGCATCGGCGCCGCGGCACAGCTCCTTGAAACTATT